TAGACAAAACTGTGTTATACCCTTCAAAGGTGTAAGAGATGAGATCTTATTATTCTCACCAGAAAAAAGAAATGATGATTCTGTGATGTACTAGAAATGTTACCTAACACAATGGTGGTGATTATATTGCAAAATATAAATGTATCAAATCAACATGTTGTACATACCTAAACTAATATAATGTTATATATATATATATATCTCAATTATATCTCAATAAAAATTTATTTTTTAAAAAAGAACTCACATCATTTATCATGACACTTACACTTACCATTTTATTACACGTCCTGAGAGCCAGAATTAGAATAGCCAGTAAGCAGCAGCAGCAGCACCGTGTGCCAGGCCATCCTGAGCACTTTATAGTTTTATCACTCTCCAAAGGCAAAGGAAATAAAAGCAAAAATGAGGTATCGGGACCTCATCAAGATAAAAAGCTTCTGCATGACAAAGGAAACAATCAACAAAACTAAAAGTCAACTGGGGGAATGGGAGAAGACATTTGCAAATGGCATATTGGATAAAGGGTTAGTATTCAAAATCTATAAAGAACTTACCAAACTTGACACCTGAAAAACAAATAATCTGGAGACATAGGCAGAAGACATGAATAGACGCTTATCCAAAGAAGACATCCAAATGACCAACAGACACATGAAACAATGCTCAATGTCACTCATCATCAGGGAAATACAAATCAAAACCACAATGAGATACCATCTCACACGAGTCAGACTGGCTAAAATTAACAACTCAGGAAATAACAGATGCTGGTGAGGACATGGAGAAACGGGAACCCTCTTGTACTGTTGGTGGGAAAGCAAACGGGTGCAGCCGCTCTGGAAAGCAATGTGGAGATTCCACAAAAAATTAAAAATAGAATTACCCTATGATCCAGCAATAGCACTCCTAGGAATTTACTCAAAGGATACAGGAGTGCTGATGCATAGGGGCACGTGTACCCCAATGTTTATAGCACCACTTTCAACAATAGCCAAATTATGGAAAGAGCCCAAATCTCCATCAACTGAGGAATGGATAAAGAAGGTGTGGTTTATCTATACAATGGAATACTACTTGGCAATGAGAAAGAATAAAGTCCTGCCATTTGCAGCAACGTGGATGGAACTGGAGGGTCTCATGCTAAGTGAAATAAGTCAGTCAGAGAATATCATGTTTTCACTCATATGTGGAATTTGAGCAACTTAACAGAAGACCATGGGGGAAGGGAAGGGGAAAATATAATCATTTCAAACAGACAGGGAGGCAAACCTGTATTTCTCTTAAATACAGAAAACAAACTGAGGGTTGATGGGGGTGGGAAGATGGGGGAGAGGGGAAAATGGGTGATGGGCATTCAGGAGGGCACTTGTTGGGCTGAGCACTGGGTGTTGTATGTAAGTGATGAATCATAGGAATCTACCCCCAAAACCAACAACACACCGTATACAATGTATGTTAGCCAACTTGACAATAAAGTATTATTTTTAAAAAATAAACAATAAAAAATTATTTTAATTCAGTAAAAAAAATAAAAATAAAATAAAATTCTGTCACAATAACTCTATAAAGTAACAGCTATTATCTTCATATCACATAGGAAGAAACTAAGGCAAACAAATATTAAGTAACTTGTCCAAAGTTAAAAACCCAATGGGGCGCCTGGGTGGCTCAGTCAGTTAAGAATCCAACTTTGGCTCAGGTCATGACCTCAAGACTTGTGAGTTCAAGCCACGCGTCAGGCTCTGCGCTGACAGCTCAGAACCTGGAGCCTGCTTCACATTCTGTGTCTCCCCCTCTCTCTGCTCCTCCCCCTGCTTGTGCTCTGTCTCTCTCTCAAAAATAAACATTAAAAAAAAAAGAGGGGCGCCTGGGTGGCTCAATCCATTAAGCGTCTGACTTCAGCTCAGGTCATGATCACCGCTCATGATCACCGCTCATGGGTTCGAGCCCCGCATCAGGCTCTGTGCTGACAACTAGCTCAGAGCCTGGAGCCTGCTTCAGATTCTGTAGCTCCCTCTCTCTCTCTGACCCTCCCCTGCTCACATTCTCTCTCTCAGAAATAAATAAAACATTTAAAAAATTTGTTTAAATAAAATAAATTTTAAAAATTTTTTTAAAAAGGTGGCACAGCAAACTTTTGTACTATAGCAATTTCTTACCTCCCAAATCCACGCTCATAACCACGACTACACTTTACTACCCATTAATCATCTATTTTGATGGGAGGAGGGGAAGGGTCATTAACATTAATAAGTACATTCCCCATTCAAATATTTATAAAGTATTAAAGTCTGAAGGAAGTATTATTCTGTACTTCACTTTCTGCCTCCCTAAAAAGCTACTTTTCTATATTCCCAACAAAGGCATGTTTAGACTCCATAGATACATCCCTTGACAGTCTTCATGTACGTCTTTCTTTTCAAACAAACACCTTCCGTCACCAGATGTATGAGAAACATTTCCCACAGTTGCTAGAGTGGCTAGAGGGAGACTGCCCTCTAGTGGTCCCACGCTGATTTGGAGCCAGATAAAGCATTCCCAGAAAGTGCTTCAGTGACCTTCTTTCCTAATGCAAGTTCATTCAGCGGCAGAGCACATGCAGGAGAAAGGATATTACAAAACAAGTAATCCATGATGGGTCTTAATGCATTATTATGGGGGGGGGGGGGTTAATGCTTATTTAATTTGAGTGAGAGAGAAAGAGAGCAAGCCGGGGAGGGGCGGAGAGGGAGAGAATCTACACTGTCAGTGCAGAGCCCGATATGGAGCTCAATCTCACAAACCATGAGATCATGACCAAAGCCAAAATCAAGAGTTGAACACTTAACCGAGGGAGCCACCCAGGTGCCCCCTGCATTACTGTGTTTTAGCTGGGGAGATGATGAGACCAATAAGCAGAACATGAGGTCACTGTGGACAATGACTTTACTCCTAGCTCAGATGTGGCCAATTCAAGTATGCCAGGGCTTTAAAAAAAACAAAAACAAACAAACAAAAAAAACACTACCCCTGTACCTTGTTATCTTCCAAAAGGGGACTGAAAATGACAATTCTTGCAAAATCTGAAATAAATGCCGAAAACAATCACAGGCCGATATTTAAGTCCCCCAGGGTTAAGGACCCTGAAAGTAAAGACAACTCTCTTCACTTTTCCTTTCTTTCTCAAGAAAATGTGTGTGATTGATGGGGAGCTCTCGAGTAGGAGTTTTTTTTTCTTTTAAGTAGGCTTCACACCTAGCGCAGAGCCCAACACGGGGCTTGAACCCACAAAACCTTGAGATGCAACATGAGCTGAAATCAAGAGTTGGACGTTTACCCAACTGAGCCACCCAGGCGCCCCAAATAGAGTTCTATGGTCACAACCCGTATGTATTCCTTCATGCGCAGTAAAGAGGCAGTAACAGAAATGGTTGTATTTTTTTTTAAGCTATAAGATAACTAACACATAACCAAAGTACAATGTGATCTTAAGACAGTGATGGTCTTCAAAATTAGACAGTAAACTATCAAACGTATCCACATCTGTGCTTTATTTACAGTATCATTTTTCTTTTCCCAGCTCACAGGGCTCATGTACCAAAGTAAAATTTTTCTTCACCACTGCTTTTCTGATCCCTAACAGTGACAGACTCTGGAGCACAGAATAGAACAACCCTGAGAATGAATAAAAGGAAAATATCTAACTTACTGATTTCTAGTCCTTCTTCACTGAAATTGCTGTTAATTCAACAAGTATTTAATGAGCATCTACTGTAATAGAAAAGTATATGGGAATTATAGTCTGTAGATAAAAATGAAGACATGGTCTTTAATATTCAAAGAGCTTACGAACTAATATTCTAATATTGAGTGTAATTAATATCACAAACTAATATTCTTATCGAAGAATTTCAACAGCAACCTAAACAAAACAAGGGAGATCATTTCTCAGACTGAGAAAAGGTGACATTTCATGAAGTAGTATTTGTGCTGTTGCTTTACGAAATGGGAAGGATTTCAACAGGCAGGAAAGTATTCTAGGCAGGGGGAATTTTAGCAAGCCGTCAGTGCTCAGGGTGCTAATGGCATTTGAAGAATGACTAGTATCTTAGTTTCAGGAGCATATTTTAAGTGCAAGGGAAGACATGGATGAGGATGAGATGGCACTTCAGACTTTATTTAAGCAAAGGAAAATCATTAAGGACACCAAGTTGGGGAGGAAAGGGCATGAGCAGGGCTTGATTTAGAAGCATGATGCTGGTGGCAACAGGGAAGCTGAACTGGAGCCAGAGGAGGAGAAAGCTGGAGGCTGGCCAACCGCCTGGAAGGTCATCAGGATGGAGGAAGTGGAGTAAAGCGAGTTCAGGCCACCGCTGTGAATGTAGAGTCTAACGTGTGACTGAGGGGGCTGAGCTAAACAAAGGATTGTCCATAATCTTCAACAAACAAAACCCGAGGTTTATGATGCACTCCTATCTGGGCCTTACCCCCTCAGTGATGATGGGAGAGGCCATGGGTGGGAAAGCCACGTAGGCCCGACTCCAGGAGAATCTCTACAGGGAGTTGTGTGTTACTTTATTTAAAAAAAGCAAGCACACGTATCCTTCTGATTGGCCTTCTGTGGGAATCACTGAATGAGAACAAGATCCTTCCGGCTTCCAAAGTCTAGAACTCTGTCTTTAGTCCCATCGCTTATAGACTCCCCTCACTGCTGCTGATTATAGTTGCGGGATGTGAGTGGTGGCCTAGCTCATGAAGATAGTCTGAAGCAAATGAAATGAACTGTACCAGCAAATAATTAATATATACAATATATACGATCTTTATAAGGAGGGAAGTGCTCTGTGGGTTTAGAACCATGAGTACCGAAGTCTAGCCTGAACTGCTGAATAAAACCCTACTTCTGGAAAAAGAGTAATAGATATAAAATGTCCGTTTATTACCTACTGGGCCGTTTATACTGGGTCACTTAAACTTAAGAGGCACTGAAATAGGCAAATTAAAGAAAAAGCAGACACTACCTTTTTCCATATTTTTAATTACCATTATTGCACCAATACAGCATACGCTTTATATACATATATCTTAAATTTCATTTTCAACTTTTCGGCAATTCAAATACATAATATATTATCATCTTGAGAATACAAAGAACACAACATGGAGGAAGATTGAGAAAATAGTTTCCCAGTAGTTAGTCACTAGTGATTCTAGACTTTCCATTTAGTGTTTTCTATTGGAATTGTAAAATGCCTTGCCCCGGCTCTGCGACAACAGAGCTGCCTGGAACAGGAGGCAATGAGAAAAAATGGACCCAAAGTGACAAAGAGTCAAGAAGAAAATCCAGGAGAGAGACTACATTGTAAAACTAAACAGAAGGCTCCCTTCAGCCAGAGTGTGCACACCCAAAGAAGTGCTAAGGGAAGAAACGGTATCTTCCCATCTCACCCTCAAAATTGTCCACAACAAACAAAACTGATAGTGCCCATTCCTCTAAGAAAGGGAACTCTCTTCACAGCACTGTAAAAGGAATGGTGGGGGAGGCAGGGAAAGTGGGGGTAGAGCAACTTGCTTTCGGGACACCCGATGTGATGGCGTGGGAAAGCCGTCCCTCGGGCAGACGCTGTCACAGCCAGCGCTGCGGACTCTCCAGCTTCCTTCATTAGTGACGATGTGTGTAATAGCAGCTTCCTGGGAGAGGGCTAGATGCGTTGGAAAATACATGTTTATGGAAAGGGGCCAGATACCCAGGCAGCAAGGCAATGTGGGCACTGAAAAAGAGTCACGTGCTTTTCAATGCATCTGCTCTACAGATCAGGTTAAAAACTCTAGACCCTTCAACTCCAGGTCAAATAAGGGGGCAAATACAAAGTAATGCCGCGCTTCAAATGCAGCAACTAGGTGGAGCTGCAAGAAAGTCAATGCTCCTCTGCAATGGAACTTGGAAAACACAGCCCTTGAACCTCCTTCTTCCAAGAGACACCCACTGACCAAAGATGCCGCACTACTCAACAGTTCCTCAAAGAGACACCCGCTGACCAAAGATGCCGCACTACTCAACAGGTAAAAAAACAGTGCAGGAGCCACCGACAAAACCCTCTGAGCACAGGAAGAAACATGTAAACACATGAGAGGGCAATGGAGCTGCACCCAGTGCGGGATGCTCACCGGACAGGAGAAGCCTGAGGGAGGGCCTGGCACAGGGACCCAGGACGTAATCCCTATCACAACTCGGGATCTGTAAACACTGAGGGCAGTCAGTCCATTCGGAGGGTCGTGGGTTAGTGGGAAAGGAAATCCCAAGGTTTCTGTCTCCCCTGAAACTGCCAAATAGGGCTTCACCAAGAGGCACACAGGGTCATGAGATGATTCCGAAGTAAGTTAAAGAACTGAAAAGAACGATTTTACAGATGTTAGAATTCACTTCTCTCTCAAAGAGATCTGGCCTTTGGGGCCCTGCATAGTCGGCCACAAGTATGGTTAAGACCCACTATTCCCCTGCCTCAACCGCAAACAGGAGATAAGAGATACTTTCCTGGCTGTACAGCAAGTACCAACACAGGGGAGGGACGTAATCCAGCTTGAGTGCAATGGAGGAGCTGCAGAAAAGATTGTCCAGTCAGTTTGGTTCTGGGAAGAGAAGGGGCTCCTAACTTCCCTCACAGATTGGTGCCCTCAAGGTGATTTTTTGTTTCTTCAAGTCTGTCCTTGATGCTATTCAGAACTGGACCCAGTTGGATGGCTGTGGTGCCTGTTTTGGAACAGAGCTGCAAGACAGGAGACCAGAGAGAGAGCCAAAGGAATTAGGATAGCCACTCCATTCTTCACTTAACAGTTTCCAAGAAAACACTGCCCAGAATTTCCGAAACTACACCTCACACCTTCTACTTATCAAGGCTTGAAATATTCCAGTCAAACTTCATCCTACAGCTTTATTATCCCACCGTCCCCCAGCACTTACTCTACTTCCTTACCTAGACTCCCTGTCTCAGACTCTATGATCTGGAAATGCCCTGCCTTCCCCCATCGAGAGTCCATCTGACTATAACATTCACTGTACCCTGATCGAGCGTGTGCTGCCTTCACTCTGCTCGTACCTAGAAGCAGGGCTGAAGTCTCCCCACAAGTCACTGCCTGCAGACACTGGAGCCAGGGCTGGTGCCGGGACAGGCGCAGGAGCATCCAAATCTAACAGGATATCTGAATACACAGCAAAGGGAAGAAAAAAGAAAAGGGGAAGCAGAATAAAAATGTGAGTAATAAAAAATTACACCTAAATCTATACACAAATGTTCACTGCGGCTTTATTTGTAAGAGCCAAAAGCTGGATGTGACCCAGAGGCTTCTCCACAGGTGACGGTTAAACATGCTGTGGCACATCCATACCACGGAACACTACCCAGCAATAAAGAGAAACAAACTACTGATATTCACAACTTGGATGGATCTCAAGGGAACTATGCGGAGGTGGAAAAAGCCAATCCCCAAAGGCTATATACTATATGTTTCCATTTATATGACATTCATGACGTGACAAAATTCTAAAGATGGAGAACAGATTAGTGATCGCCAAGGGTTAGAGGGGGCATGGGGCAGGCCTCAGGAGGAGTGAGGGTATAGAAGATGACATGAGGGATCCTTGCACTGCTGGAGCTGTTCTGTATCCTGACCGTGGTAAGGGACTCAGGAACTTAACTCGATCAGAGTGCAGAGAACTAAAACCACGTATACACACAAATGAGAACAAGTGGATCTGGTGAAATCTACATAAGATCAGCAGACAGTATCAATGTCAATTTCCTGATCAATTTCCTATTTGCTATTCCACTTTGGTTTTGCAAACTGTTACCATTTAGGGAAAAATGGGTAAAGAGTACAGAGGACTTCTTTGTGCTTATTTTTCACAACTGCATGTGAATCCACAATCATCTTAAAATAAAAGGCTTCAATCAAACAAATTAAAAATAAATCTTAGACATTATCCCCCAGTGCCTTCTGGAGACACTTATGAAAAGTAGGTTACAACCATTTTTATCTCAAAATTCCAGAAAGAAAAAGTTTTACTCTTCGCAGTCAATTATATGAATGATCTCAGGAAAATTCTTTTCCATGTTCCAATGTTCTCATTCTTTTATTTTTTTTTTAAAGTTTATTTTTTGACAGAGAGCACACATATATACACGTGCGAGAGAGAGGACGGGGCAGACAGAGAAGGCCACAGAGGATCCAAGGAGGACTCCACTGACCGCAGAGAGCCCAGCCCGATGAGGGGCTCGAATACACGGACTGTGCGATCACAACCTGAGCCGATGTCAAACCTAGGCACCCCTCATGTTCTCATTCTTGAAATGAAAAGAACTGTTATCTATTCTTTCTCCCATTAGACGGTAGAGTGAAAATGTATTCACGAACCCAGATGCTGTCTGTCTCCCAGCTGTCCTAGCGAAGATCAGGAAAAATGAAAACGTCACATATACTGAGTGGCTGCTCTGCTCCAGGGACTGTGCTAGGTGGTGTCAAGTCATCTCACCCGCGGCATGGTTTTAAGTCTCCATTATGCAGATAAGGATATTGAGGCAGAAAATGTAAATAATATTATCAAGTACATTCGGATATAAGATAGCAGAGCTCTCCCCCAAATCTGGGTCCATCTGACTCTCAGGCCTAGTATCTAACCACTTATTTTATTTTTTGGGGGGCGAGTGGGAAAGAGAGGGAGAGAAAGAAACTCAAACAGGTTCCACACCCATCTTGGAGCCTGATCTCACCGCTGTGAGATCAAGACCTGAGCTGAAATCAACAGGCAGATGCCTAATCAATGGAGCCACCCAGGCGCCCCAAAATTCACTCACTTTCTGAGAAAGAACTTACCAAATACCATGACTCTCGGTTCACTAGAAAAGCTTTAATTCCTTGCTAGCGGTTGTCAGAATCCCCTTGTCAGTACCAAGCGCCATTTAATAGCAAAAACATCAATACCCGCCTTGGCAAACAGGTGCGACCCAACTGAAACTTACGATACGATGATTCCTCTGTGTGTAAGTGGTGAATCACTAAATCCTGCCCCTGAAATCATTACACTATACGCTAAACTTGGATTTAAATAAAATTTAAAACTTAAAAAAAAAAAAAAGATATGATATCTTAAGATAACTTGAGAAACAGATATTTCTCAAGTTAAGAGTCATAGAGATGGGGCACCTGGCTGGCTCAGGGGGAGGGATATGCAACTCTGGTTCTCGGGGTCCTAGTTCACAGTAACAGAGATTTACCTGCATCACTGCTTCCATGGTGAGATTTTGGAATGGGTGGTGGAGTGACATGATTGCTGATGGCAACTGAGGAGGATGGTGGTGGGACAGTGACTTTGCCTCCGGGTGGGGGTGGGAGCAAGCTCAGTCCCCCAGCCCCTGCAGTCTTGGGCTTGGAAGCACCCGCTTTCTTAGTTGTAATGTTCTACAAAAAAGAAAACAGAGAAAAGAGAGAAGGAAAACGTCACCAGCTTATTAGGGAAATACACGGAGCGGGAGGAAAGAAACCATACTCACCCCAATACTCAACTTGATGGTCTGTCCTTCTTTGAAGCCCAGATCCAACTTGGGACGGGTGTCCATCTCCTGAGACTCTTTGGAAATCTCGGATTCCTGCTTTACCCACCTTCAGTAAAAGAGTAAATCATCTTAATGTGGGACTATCCAAAAGCAGAGCTGACACACAAACTTGAGTGTAACTAACTTATGTGAAACAGGATTCCAGAAAGCAGAGGGCAGGAAGATGAAAAGCGAGGAAGGAAAGGAAGAAAAGCCAGAACAGGGCAACAGGGTTCGATATCACCGAGGAGCCATATGGAACGTATATTTAAGTTGTCCCTCCACAGGAGTGCATTTAGCCGCCAATTTCCACCCCCCCGTGGGTGAGGGCCACCCCTGAGCGGGTGTTCATTCCTCAGTCCTTCCAGGCTGCATCCCTGTGCCAAGCGAGTGGACTGCCACAATTTCAGAGTGCTGAGGCAGAAAAGCAGAGTTATGTCTGCCCTTGAAGTAGGAAGTTGACAGTGCGTGGTGCCGTCCACCACAGCTGTGGCAGAACTGAAGAAAGGTCATGGCAAAGGACATAAAACACATCAGCTACACAAAGTAACACAACTGACACTTAACCCCTCCTATCTCACGTATAGTCCTGCTGTTACCGTATGCCTCCCTCGGCCACTTAAGAGCAAATGTCAATTCTTCCAGAGGCATAAGAAAAGCATCATCTCAAAACACCGTACAAAGGACCAAAAACATATTCTGGGCTCTAAGGAGAGGACAGAACAGACACAAAGATGATGTAAGGAAACAGTGAACTGGAAGATTCAAGTTCGTAACAAACTAGTTTATCAAATAGAGAAACCAGGAGGTAAAAGAGATGGTATCCATTCAATTGAGAAGGAGCATTTCCAAAACCTTTTAACTTGGTAACGAAGAACAGAATCACTCACTTGAAATGATCTTGCAAGGAGACATTGAAGTCGAAGGCATCACCCCGATCGGTGAAGCCAATGCCAATGAAAGCACTTCGTCCTGTGAAAAAGACAGAATACTCAGAATAGGAAGTGTCCCTTAGGGAAAATTTCACCCAATGAAAATCAACAGTTACCTTAACTACACAAAGTCCGTGAATGTGAAGCATTTCTCACAGCCCAGGGGTCCACACACCACATATACCCCAAGGGCCAAATGCTGGCATAGCTTGTTTTTGTAAATAATATCTTACTGGAACACAGCTATACCGATTTGCTGACATATTACCTATGGCTGCTTTCATGCTACATGAGAGAACGTTTGGCCTGCAAAATTGAAAATATTCACCATCTGTGTTTTACCAGAAAAACTTTGCCGGGAAAAAAAAAAAAAAATTAAAACAGAAAAACTTTGCCGACCTCTGATATAGACTATGGAGAAGAGATAGGAAATGATTCCCCTAGACACAGATGATTTAAGATAGTCCCACCAAAACCCACCACAAACAATGATGAATGGGCAATACATATTAATTCTTTGGTTGGACAGACATTTGACTTATTTACGTCTACGTATTAATGATCATAATTCGAACTTGTGCTCTCACCTACTACAAACAACATGTTAATCCTTGTCCTTTAGCAACTATAGTTAGTTGTGGAGAAAGGGGAGGAAAACTGTGGTAAACTGAAATAAGATAAATGCAGCTGGGACACACTTTTATTGAAATGCATTACCTATTTTCCCTAATCTCACCCACTCAAAATCCCAGATCCCTTACCAGTTCCATCCTGGATCCGGATGACAAAGTAGCGGCTGGAATCTGTCACCGTCTCCACAGCAATACCAGGGTACTGTTCTACTGGTGCCTGAGCAAAGAGCTCCCCTAACAGGTAAGAAAAGGACTTCCTTGAGCTAAAGAAGCAAAACTCTGAAACTTTTACAAGTATGTCCATTCCAGTCCCCAACTTAAATGTATTTCTAAAAGTGCACCAAAAACGGGGCACCTGGGTGGCTCAGTCGGTTAAGCATCTGACTTGTGATTTCGGTTCAAGCCACACGTCGGGCTCTGCGCTGGTAAATGGGACTCTGCTTGGGATTCTCTCTCTCTCTCTGCCCCTCCCCCTGCTCTCTCTCTCTCAAAATAAATAAATACACATTTAATAAAAAGAAGAAAAGAGGGGTGCCTGGGTGGCTCAGTCGGTTAAGAGTCTGACTTTGGCTCAGGTCATGATCTCATAGTTCGTGGGTTCGAGCCCTGCGTCAGACTCTGTGCTGACAGCTCAGAGCCCAAGCCTGCTTCAGATTCTGTGTCTCCCTCTATCTCTGTCCCTGCCCTGCTCATGCTATCTCTCTCTCTCCCCCAGAAATAAATAAAACCATTAAAAAAAGAAGAAGAAAAGAAAAAGAACAAAAAAGCACACAAAACTAATACCCTTAATATGTTAGAGGGTCACCAGCACAGATTACCTGAAACTTTATCCTCAAGTTTGATATAAGCGATCTTCCCTTTTGAAGTGATTCGGAGGCGTCCAGTCCAATCAGGCTGGTCTAATTTCCAGTCAGATGCCCTAGGATAGGAAAATAGGAAGCCTCAGGTCTATGTCTTTGATTACTAAAAACCTACACAGAACCATTTGCCATATTTCTATTTCCCTATTGCTTATTCTATCCATTAAATAATTAACAAGAATAACACATGATCCTCACTGCATAGATGCTTCATATTATATATAATCCAAAGCAAACAAAAGAGTGTTACTACTTAAGGATTCTGGAGTCCATAAGCATCAATAAAAGCATGTAAAAGTACAAATACAAGCAATGAAAACTAATTCTCATAAAGGTATTACATTGTATACTGCAGATAATATTTTATATAATAGTGTTTTACCGATCAAGTAACAACAAAGTCTACTAAATGAACTATACTGGGTAACAGAAGGCTTCCCAAATCCCTACATGTTTTTAAGCCATTAGAAGCAGTATAAGCAATTGTGAACACAATCTTTCACTGAAGTCAACCAATACTTACAGAGTGCATATTAAGTCACAGGCACTGTTCTAGGTGAATGCACAGTGAATGAACAAAACAAAGATTCCTACCCTCATGAGGTTTACATTCTAACAGAAAACAGACAATAGAAAATAAACATAATAAATAAAATAACTAGCATCTCAGAGAATGATGAGTGCTAAAGTAAAAAGAAAATGAAGAAGCAGAAAAGGGAAATTGGGAGGGTAGTGGGAGAGTAAAGAGGCTGCAGCATTCAAGAGGGTAGTCAGGGGAGGCCTTATTAACAAGGTGAAATGTGGGGAAAATGCGAAGGAAGCAAGAGAGTTTCTCATGCAGATGGTGGGGGGCGGGGAGCGGATATTCCAGGACGGTAACAATTAGTGCAAAGGTGCTAAGGCGGGAGTGTATCTGGAATGAAGAGAAAGCCACTGAGGCTAGAAAAAGAGATGAGGTGGGGGTGAGGTAACAGAGGGCCAAACTTTACAGGCCTCGTAAGAACTCTGGCTTTCACTGAGTGAAAAAGGAGCCATTACCAGTTTTAAGCAGAGGTGATACGGGATCTTCCTTTGACTCTGAAAGGACAACTTTGGCTGCTGCACGTGGAAGCAGTGTAGGGATATAAATGCTGAAGCAGGGGATTAGCGGAGACACTCAGAAGACAGAGGAGCAGAAGTGGCCGGATTCTACATATATTTAAAGCCAAGAAACAGGATTTTCGAAAGGACTGATTGTGAGGTCGAAGTCAAGGATGACTGAAGTTTTTAGCCTGAACCAAGGAGCTGCCAGTAAGAATGACAGAAAGGCTACAGGCAGAGCCTGTCCAAGAAGAAAGATCAGGGGCTCAGTCTTGCATATGTCGAGCTGGAAATGTCAAACTGATTTTCAAGCGAAGATATAGAGAAGGCATTTGAATATGAGTCTGGAGGTCAGGAAAAACGTTTGGGCTAGAGATACGATGTCCATGGAAACATTACAAAACACTGAACACTTATAATCTGTGTGATAAATGAATTTGAATGAAATCTAAGACATTATTTAAATATGACCAATTTTAGGGGCGCCTGGGTGGCTTAGTCGGTTGAGCGTCCGACTTTCGCTCAGGTCATGATCTCGCGGTTCGTGGGTTCGGGCCCCGCGTCGGGCTCTGTGCTGACTGCCAGCTCAGAGCCTGGAGCCTGTTTCAGTCTGTGACTCCCTCTCTCTCTGACCCTTCCCTGCTCACGCTGTCTCTCTCTCTCCTAGAAATAAATAAAAATATTAAAAATAAATAAATAAATAAATAAATATGACCAATTTTACAAACTTGTGATTTTGTTTTTGTCAGCGTGTGGAAAAGAAAGGGCAAGGTAAAAGTTATTAAATAACTCATCCTGGGCACCTAGCTGGCTCAATCAATAGAGCATGCGACTTTTGATCTTGACGTTGTGAGTTCAAGCCCCATGTTGGGTACAGAGATTATATAAAAATAAAATCCCGGGATACCTTGGTGGCTCAGTCAGTTAAGCACCAGGCTCTAAATTTCAGCTGGGGTCATGATCTTGCAGTCATGAGACTTAACCCCACGTGGGGCTCCACCCTGAGAGTAGAGCCTGCTTGGGATTCTCTCTTTCTCTCTGCACCTACAACCATGCTCTCTCTCTTTCTGTCTCTCAAAAGCAAATAATAATAATTTTTAAAAAATAAAATCTTGGGGTGCCTGGGTGGCTCAGTTGGTTAAGCATCTGACTTTGGCTCAGATCATGATCTCACGGTTCATGGGTTCAAGCCCCACATTGGGCTCTGTGCTGACAGCTCAGAGCCTGGAACCTGCTTCGGATTCTATGTCTCCCTCTCTCTCTGACCCTCCCCTGCTCATGCTGTCTCTCTCAGAAATAAATAAAACATTAAAAAAGAATTTTTAAAATTTTTTTAAAAAATTAAATCTTTAAAAAGAAAAAAATCTCATCCCTTAGAAACCTGAAGACTAATACTTATAAGTTAGAAAGGTAACAATAAGTGCATCTAAACAAGAATAAATTTAACAAGATGGTAAGCAAAAGGTACAAATGAAAAATAATGAAAATCAGCACAGGTTTTGAACAGGATTTATAAATCCTTGCCATGCCCTACTCTCCCAATGCCCTGCCTCAAAGACCGTCAAGTACTTGAATCTGACCCAGACTATGATGCTTGAAAGGCCCCCGAATTTTAATCTTTTTAATGAGTCATTACTTATTCTACCATCACACCATGAGCTAAACACAGTGATTCATAAACATATTCAAACAATTCATTAACATATTGACTATATCAGGAACAAGCCTACTAGTGTTTCTTGGGGCAAGTTCCTTGACGTGCTTATGTTGCATGTCTAGCGGCCAATATTTAACAAATTCTCAGTAAGGGAATGGGTATGCCCAGCAGCAATTTCCCTCAGCCCGGAGCCCTAGTTCCTTTCCCACTCCCAAGACCTAGCCTGAGGAGCTCTCAATTTCGCTGGTCTTCTGAACTGACTTCACAAATTGTCATTTACCCTAGTAATAAACCCCTGTGGCAACCATCTGCAATAGGCAAGGGAAGCCTACCACCTCTGTCTAAGTGAAGAACAGTAACACAGTGAAGAATGCCTGACTTCGAAGGCCAGCATTCTTCTCATTATACTAAAGCAGACTACTGGGCTTACAATGATTTAGCTGAGGGGAAGGGCAGTGGTGAATACAAAAACAGGGCCATAGTTCAGGAAACCATTTTCTAACCATTTAGAACATTCTCATCGATCTAAATTGTCAGAGAAAGCCTGGGAAACAACAGCTTACACTACGTGAATCAAAGTCATTCATTCCCTCAATCTTACTAGTCACTCAAAGTATTCCTCCTGCTTCCTAAAAATCCCAGTGTTTCCTTTATAGGCAGCCTAAAGGCTGTGCTATAATGTGAAATGGGTTCTGTAAACAAGATTAGTCAGACAAAAAGACATAAAAGTAATATTTATCAAATACCCATTACATCCCAAGCATGAGACCCATTCTTATGAAAATTAAATGAAAGGATACTGCAAGGTAAGTAGTAGTATATCCATGTTTTACAAGTGAGAAAACTATGGGGCGCCTGGGGGGCTCAGTCAGTTAAGCGTCTGACTTCAGCTCAGGTCATTGATCTCACGGTTCGTGGGTTCGAGCCCCGCGTCGGGCTCTGTGCTGACATCTCAGAGCCTGGAGCCTGCTTCAGATTCTGTGTCTCCCTCTCTCTCTGAACCTCCCCTGCTCACGCAGTCTCTGTCTCTCTCTCTCAGAAATAAATAAAAAACATTAAAAAAAAATTTACAAATGAGAAAACTACAGTTCCAAAGAGTTGAATGCCTTGCCGAAAGTAACCCTGCAAATAAATGGGAATCTCGATGCAAACTTAGTTCAGCTCTGTCCATTCACTATACTGAGAGTGGCTAATGATACAATGCCTCTTGGAGGATAAGAAACGTCAATAACAAGCATGGAAAACACGGACCACAAGGAAAAGAGGAAAATTAAACTATTTTGATGGCTCAGTGCAGTTAACTGACATAAAGATAAAAGGCTGTGGATAAACTAGGAAACAAAGGTTGAGAATGCAGGTGGGTGAGAGAAGGAAGTCGCTGAAAAAGATTAAAGTAGAAGAAAAAGAAGAGACCCCCACTTTATGACTTATCATACCCTTTCGGAAGTCTTAACTACTGAACAGTTCAGTCAATGCTAATTTACGTGATTAAGTGTGATCTACTCGTTTCTCCCACGTTTCCCGAGTGCCCACTATGTGCGGGATGCTGTACTCGACCCTGGTACTATAAACTGAGAAAAGACCTCAAGTTGTTCATAGCTAGTCTGGAGAAACCGCAGCCCGAACAATCTGTAAGCACGCACAGAGCATACCTAAGCCAGAACGGCGGAGGGAGGGGGGCTTCCCAAAGAAGGTTACTTCCCAAAGAACGTTACTACCTGTAACTACCATCAAAAAGCATGGAGACTCCTATTCGTGGTCGATTTGGGATCTGAAAAACCCGAATGAGGACCACCTCCGCCAAAACGTTTACCCCACAGGGTCTGGTGCACAGGTCAGCAAGCAGGAACATAGTGATTCGTGATGAATGAAACCCCAGTAAGAAGGCAAAATAATGGCCACAGAAGGACAGCGGTCAAAGCGATGATAAACGCCAAGGGGAAAATCATGACGGTGATGCAGACGAGAGACAGCTAAGACCAGTATCTTATGTTTAATATACTGCTTTACTGTTTCCTCACTTTTTCACATTTCTTATATTATTTCGTGTAGCCCTCCAAACTTCTGTGAGGCACATAACTAGAGCATGTTTTATTACCAGGGTTGGTTCCCCCCCCCCCATTTTACAGATGAGAAAACTGAAGCTGGCAGAGATTAAGAGATTTGTCCCAAATCATACAGCTGTAAAACTGTCGGGGTCCGTACTCATACTTTCTAGCAGTGACCAGCTAACATGTTAACTCCTTCCACTACCTGATTCAGGACTTCCTACTGCCCCCTCACAACCTCACCGACACGGGATCACAAGGTGGTCGGTCAGCCCTACAGAGAAAACGCTGCATTAACTCCGGAGAGAAAGGCTACGGGAAAGAAGGAAAACAGAAAACACTATGTAATCATCAAGAAAAGTGTACTCGGGGAAAGAAAAAACAAAACAAAACCCAGAATAGACAACTATTGGAAAACCTAGAATCATAACCTCTGCCCACCAGCAAAGGAACTGAAGGGAAAACCAAATGGTGGATCAGAGTTGGTGGCAACACTTACAACAGCACAAAAGAGAAATCGTACCACCTGCAGAGTGGCCAACACGCTGAGTACCCATAAGTATTATGCTCGGGGGGCTGGAAATGTGTGTGAGGGGGGTCGGGAGGGGGCACGACCAGCGCGAGAAACTGAAGGACGCAGGAAAGAAGGAACCAAAGGTGACCGGCGACGGAGCAGGCACGACTGGCTGTGGATGATGGGAGCAGATGGGGAACCAGAGGGACCCAAGGGAGGCGGGGCGGGAAGATGCAGGTGGTAATTGTTTTCGAAGCGGCGGAACCCGGGGTGGCATTCCACGCGGGGCAACGAACAGGAAGACGCGGCGAAAACAACCCTGGTGGGGAGGCTTGCAAAGTGACCACTCAGAGGTGGCAGTGGCGGGGACTCGCGGCGCGCTACCGGAGGAAACTGTCACCCCCGACCCGGTGTGCGTGCACGGCAGCCTTGGGGTTAGTACCTGTAACCGCGGTTGGAGGCCCGGGGAGGAATCCGGTAGACGCTAACGTCGGGCTTCACACACAGGACGGACTCGTACTCCAACTCGGCCGCCATCTTGGCTCTGCACTCCGCGCCACCGGGGGCGGGGCGAAGGGACGGGGGCGGGGTAGGGGTGGGAAGTTGGGGAGTGCGCAACGTCCGCTTACGCCACTTCCGCGCGAGGTTAGTTTGGTACCTGAGATTAACTTCCGGAAGTGCGAGTTGGGGTAGCCATATTGAAACCTGGAAACTGTGAAGCTACGCAGTTCGCCATCTTGGGTCATGGCAAAACTTCCTTTCCACGGCGCGATTCACGTTATGGAAAGCGCCGTTCCTGAAAGGTGATTAGCGTAATCGCCATCTTTCTGCCGGCAGGTACCCGCAAGTGCTTGGGAAGGAGGAGGACTGTCTTGAAATCTGGAGAATTTTTTTTTCTGACAGGAATCTCTGCTTAACCGTAGTTTCCTGGCAGAAAAGGGGTATCTGCCCGTCGGTAATCTCAAAGTGGGTACCTATGGTAAATGTATGACCCAGCCGTAGACGTGGTGGATTTTAATCCTCCAGCGTCCAAACGTTTAAAATGCCCAGCCTGAGGGACTCCTGGGTGGCTCAGTCGATTGAGTGTCTGACTACAGCTCAGGTCATGATCTCGCAGTTTGTGAGCCCGACGCCGGGCTCGAACTCACAAACTGAGAGGGTGTGACTGCAGCTCAGATCATGATCTTGCGGTTTGTAAGTTCGAGCCCACTGTTGGGTTCTGTGCTGACAGCTCAGAGCCTGGAGGCTGCTTCTCTCAAAAAAGATAAATAAGTACATACATACATACATACATACATACCTACCTTAGTTGCCTTATGGCACCTTTGAATCTCGGATTTTAATAGCACCTGTTGAAATAGCTTGGCACACCCTCAAGGTGCATTCTGGTCATCTTTTTGGAAAATGTGAACCTCTTAAACTCTTAAATGGGACCCTCAATTCCTGACAAAATCGTGAAGAATGATGAACTGTTATTTAGCGCCTGCTGTTTGTTCCCACTACTGTTGTAATGATAAATCCTATTGAATCCATTCAATACGTTCCTTGTACACTTCACAGGGAAACTTGCCACAACACTATCGCTTAGAAAATAACACGGATCATAGATGTCAAAACCAAAATATGAACTCAAGTCTGACTATACAATACGAAAGTGGTCTTAACCACTTCCGTATGCCGACTGGTTGAAAGAGGGTCTTTAACTGTCTGCCTAGGTAAGCGATAATCTTAATCAAAAAGACTTAGGATGTATCCCTGTCAAAGATGTGGGAAATCAGCTACAGTCATATACTAGTACCAAGAATGAAAGGAAACTTAGAAGAATTGATCAAAATATTGTAAATAACTGGGGCACCTGGGGGGCTCAATTAAGCGTCTGACTTCTGCTCAGGTCATGATCTCATGGTTTGTGAGTTGGAGCCCCTAGTCGGGCTCTGTGCTGACAGCTTGGAGCCTGGAGCCTGTTTCAGATTCTGTGTCTCCCTCTCTCTCTCTGCCCCTCCCCTGCTCACGCTGTCTCTATCTCTCTCTCAAAAATAAATAAAACATTAAAAAAAAAAGGATAAGTGATGAGCACTGAGCGTCCCTTTCACCAAGTTCAGCCATCCCCTCACCCACCTTCCCTCTGGTAACCATCTCTTTGTTCTCTACAGTTAGAGTCTGGTTTGGGGGGAGGGGGTGGCACCTACCCGGCTGAGTCAGAAGAGCCTGTGACTCTTATTTTTGGGGTTGTAAGTTGGAGCCCCACAGGAGATGTAGAGATTACTTAAAAATAAAATATTTTTTAAAACCTCTGCTTTTTGGTTTCTCTCTTTTTTTTTTTTCCTGTTGTTTTGTTTCTTAAATTCCACATATGATTGACTCATATGTATTGGTCTTTCTCTGACGGACTTTCACCGGGTGCTTCAAATGAATTTTCTCTAATGCTTCCACTTCTGCTATACCTTTTTGTTATACATAATGTGTATCCATTACGTTATATGTAATACTTCAAATATCTCCCACTACACCATAAGCTCCGTAAAGGCAAAAACTTTGCTTTTTCAGCACAATGTCATTCACATACTAGGCAATGCTTATTATTAAATAATAGAAGTTTTCCATTTAAGTAGAATCATTTAGCTTATTACTTTTGCCACCTTCCAACAGTTTTCAACTTCAAGAACTTTCATACAGTTTTCAAAATATTCAGAGTGTAGAAGGCTATAAAACGAAAAGTAAAAGTCCACATGTCTATATTATGAACAACTTTATGCCATTAAATTCAATAACTTAAATGAAATGGTCATTAATGTGCAAAGCTTACCTGAAATCATTCAAGAAGGCGTAGAAAATCTGAATAGTCCTATAACTATTAAAGAAATTGACTTCATAACTGAAAACCTGCCCACAAAGAAAACTCCAGGCCCAGATGGCTTCATTATTGATCAAACATTTTAGGAAGAAATAATATAAATCCTATACAACCTTTCTAAGAAATAGAGTAAGGGGCATCTAGGTGGCTCAGTTGGTTAATCATTCGACTTTGGTTCAGGTCATGATCTCATAGTTCATGAGTTCAAGCCCCGTATTGGGCTCCATGCTGACAGCTCAGAGCCTGGAGCCTGCTTCAGATTCTGCCTCTCTCTCTCTCTCACTGTCTCTCTGCCCCTCCCCTGCTTATTCTCTGTCTCTCTCTCAAAAATAAAAAAAAAAAAAAGTAAAAGCACTTCCCAACTAATTTTTATGAGACAATCATTTACCTTGATACTGAAAGCAAAGATATTACAAGAAAACCGTAGACTGTAATTTCCTTGTAAGCAATAATTCTTACCAAAATACCAACAAATCAAATCCAATGTATAGAAAAAGAGAATGCATCATGACTAATTGGGATTTACCCCCAAGAATTTAAGGAAATTAAATGAAAATGATATATGAAATATGAATATGAAAAAATTTAATACTCCTAAAAACTCTTAGGAAACTAGGAATAGAAAGGGAATTCCTCAGTGTGACAAAGGACATCTATAAAATACCTACAACTAACATCATGCTTAATGAAGAAATATGGAATGCTTTTCTTCTAAGATCAAGAACGAGTGAAGAACGAGGCAAGTTTATGCCCTCACCACTTCTGTTAATTATCGTCCTAGAAGTCCTAGTCATCACAATGGAGTAAGAAAAAGAAATACAGTGTACAGATTGGAAAGAAAGAAAGAAAACTGCTTGGACTTGGAGGTAGGGGTGGGGAATGGGGAGGGGGGCCTGGATGGCTCAGCTGGTTAAGTCCCTGGCTCTTGGTCTCTGCTCCGGTCCTGCACTGACAGCACAGCGCCTGCTTGGCATTCTCTCTCTCCCTCTCTCCCCCTTCCCCGTTCATGCTCTCCCTCTCTCTCTCTCTGTCTCTCAAAATAAATAAACATTTTTAAAGTGTTTTTTTACCTTAAACATACATTTATCACATGACCCATCATTCCACTCCAAAATATTTACCCCGGAGAAATTAAAACATAGAACCACAGTCGGGGTGCCGGAGTGGCTCAGTTGGTTGGGTGTCCGACTTTGGCTCAGGTCATGATCTCACGGTCTGTGTGTTCAAGCGCCACATAGGGCTCTGTGCTGACACCTCAGAGCCTGAAGCCTGCTTCAGATTCCTTGTGTGTGTGTGTGTGTGTGTGTCTCTCTGCCCCTCCCTTACTCATGCTCTCTCTCTGTCTCTCAAAAATGAATGTTTTTTAAAAAAAATTAAAACAAAAAACAAAACATAGATCCACAGAAAGGCATATATGCAAATGTTCATAGCAACTTTGTTTAAAATAGCCAAAAACTGAAAACAATACCAAATGTCTATCAATAGAAGAATAGATAAACAAATTGTGGTGTATCCATATAATAAAATACTGTCATATTGATATTCAACAGTAATAAAAAGGATAGCGATAAACAGCCTCAAGCTAATACTCAGTGATAGCAATAAAAAGATTTGAAGTACTAATACCCATAATAACATAGATCAACTTTGAAAATATTACACCAAACAAAAAAACCAGCCCCATACATATCATACAACTTCATTTTTATGAAATTCTAGAAGACTTGTTGGTTACATAAAATATATATATTTATCAAGACTCAAGAAAAATATTTTTAATGCATGCATTTTATTGTATGTAAATTATAACTAAATAAAATTTATTTTTTTCAAAAAAATTTTAATGTTTATTTATTTATGAGAGAGAGAGGAGAGAGAGACCTAGCACAAGCAGGGGAGGAGCAGAAAGAAAGGGAGACACAGAATCCAAAGCAGGCTCTTGGTCCAGAGCCCAACACTGGGCTTGAACCTACGAACCGTGAGATCATGACTAGAGCCAAAGTCAGCAGCTTAACCGACTGAGCCACTCAGGTGCCCCAATAAAATTTATTTTAAAATCCATTCTTTCATTCTCCATTAATTAACTAATTTTTAGTTAATTTTTATTGTATTTTATGTGCATTACACTTTTATAAGTGTATGTGTATGTATGTGTGTGTATATAAGTGTATGTATGTGTATGTGTGTGCATAGTGTATAAATGTGCACAAATGGAGTTATGCTATACATATTTGTCCACATTTTGCTTTTTATTTAACAATATACATCAAGACACTTTTTTGTGCCAGTACATACGGGTAGACCTTTTTAGCATCTCATGCATTCCATGAAAAGTTTATCTATAGAGGGGGTGGCTAGGTGGCTCAGTCGGTTAAGCATCCGACTTTGGCTTAGGTCATGATCTTGCGGTCCATGAGTTTGAGCCCTGGTTGGGCTCTGTGCTGACAGCTCAGAGCCTAGAGCCTGCTACGAATTCTATGTCTCCCTCTCTCTCTCTGCCCCTCCCCCATTCATGCTCTGTCTTTCTCTGGCTCTCAAAAATAAAAAAACATTGGGGCGCCTGGGTAGCTTAGTCGGTTAAGCGTCCGACTTTCGCTTAGGTCATGATCTCGCGGTTCGTGGGTTCGGGCCTCGCCTCGGCTCTGTGCTGACTGCCAGCTCAGAGCCTGGAGCCTATTTCAGAGTCTATGTCTCCCTCTCTCTCTGACCCTCCCCTACTCG